TGCTTAGTTCCTCTCCTTTAGAGTGTCTTTAATATTCTTATCTATTTTATATTGGATGTTTGCCTTATTTATTTGTAGGAGTTCCCTATGTAACCATAATTCCTATATTTTCTTGGTTATATGGTTTACAAATACATCCTTCATCTCATTTTTAATTTTGTAGTGAGGTTCTCATGCAGGCTAAAATTCCCCTTCTATTACTAATGTTTTAGGAATTTTTATTTCTAATTATCAAATTAATGACTCTAGATCTATTTAGTTTTTCTATTTCTTGAGTTATTTTTGATAATTTATTTTGTCTATTAAGTTGTTCCTTTTTCTCAGAGTTTTAAAACTTACTGGCTCAGCATAACTTTTTCCTTTTTTTCAGGGTTTTTTTTTGTATTTTTTCTTTAAATTTTTTATTGTTATGTTAATCACCATACATTACATCATTAGTTTTTGATGTAGTGTTGCATGAGTGTTGTTCGTGCATAACACCCAGTGCTCCATGCAGAACGTGCCCTCATCAATACCCATCACCAGGCCAACCCATCCCCCCCCCCCCCCCACCACTCCAGCAACCCTCAGTTTGTTTCCTGAGATTAAGAATTCCTCATATCAGTGAGGTCATATGATACATGTCTTTCTCTGATTGACTTATCAGCATAACTTTTTCTTAATAAAATTTTAATTTCTACCGTATTTCTAGATATGTCTGGTTTTTAATCTTTCGTTTGATTGTTTTTATTGGTTTCCTAAAAAATTACCACAAACTTGGTGGCTTAAAATAATAAAAATGTATTCTCTTACAACTCTGAAGTTTGGAAGTCTAAAATCATTTCCACTGGGCTAAAATCAAGATGCCAACTGCTCTAAGTTCTTCTGGAGGCTACAGGGAATAACTGTTTCCTTGCCTTGTCCAACTTCTAGAAGCTGTCCTAAGTTCCACATCACACTGCCTCCTTGGGCCACACTGCCTCATCTCCCTCTGGTTCTGTCCTCACATCTCTTCTCTAACTCTACTGAAACCCTTTGGGAAACAGCAGGTGCAAGAACACTCAGCCCCTCCCCTGTCCCCCTGAAAACAGGAAAAAAATCTCTGATGTGAAAAATACGCTCCCTGTACTAAGAAGTAAAAAAACATCCTTATCACCAAAGATAGGGACTTTAAAGCCGGGTAAACTATAGAAATAAACCTTGTGACTGTCAGCTCAAATTCTGCTTAGAATTACTTATTAATAAAGTTCCCAAACATCTGGGGTTTTTGTCGTCTAAATTCCTCACAAACCTATGTTCTCTTTGTTTAAATTGTATTAAAACTGCCTGCTTTGGTCATTTCTTTGAGTCTCAATTTCATTATTGGGCCTCCATGTGCATATAATAAAACTTGATTTTTTTTTCTCCTGTTGCTCTGTCTTGTCTCAATTTAATTTCCAAGCTAGCTGGAAGAAGCCTGGGAGTAAAGAAGGAAACTTCTTCCCCTACATCATGTAAGATAATATATTCACAGATTCCAGGGAATATGACATGAACATCTTTGAGGGTCATTATTCAGCCTACTACATTGTTTAAGTATTTTTTAGTTTTTCTATTATTAATATTATCAATATTTTTTAGTTCATTAAAAATAGCACTGGATTTCCCCATTTATTGTTTTGGTTTTTTGCTGTTTGATTAATTTTTATACTTTATTTTTAATTAAAGTATAATTTATACAATGTAATAAATGGGTTGTAAGTATAAAGTTAGCGGCATTTGAAAAATTGCAGACTTATAAACCACACCTCTATCAAACTATGGAGTATTTCCTTCACTCCATCAAGATCCCTTGTGCCCCACCCGGTTCCCAACCCACACAGGAAACCATTGCTCTGCTTTATTTCACTATGGATTGGCTTGCCTATTTTAGAATTTCATATAAATGGAGTCAAACTATATGCACGATTTGCACCTGGAAATTTTTGCTAGGCATTATGTCACTGACATTTATTCATGTTGTTATGGGTATCAGTGGTTCTGTCCATTTCATAGCTGAACTAATATTCCATTGTATATATACAGCATAGTTTAATTTGTTTATGTATATTTTCTCTAGTTTACTGCTATTATGAATAAAGCTGCTGTGAATATTTCTTCTTTTTTCCTAAAGATTTTTTATTTATTTATTTGACAGAGAGAGACACAGCAAGAGAGGGAACACAAGCAGGGAGAGTAGGAGAGGGAGAAGCAGGCTCCCCACCGAGCAGGGAGCCTGTTCAATCCCAGGACCCTGGAACCATGACCTGAGCCGAAGGCAGACGCTTAATGACTGAGCCACCCAGGCACCCCTGCTGTGAATATTTCTATACAAATCTTTTTGTAGACATGTTTTCATTTCCCTTGGGGAAATGTCTAGAAGGGAATCATCGGGTTGCAGTAGATGAAGGTTTATTTTATGAGAAACTGCCGAAGTCGTTGCCCAGTTTACACTCCAGTCAGAAATGTTTACAAATCCAGTTGCCTCACATGTTTACTCTTTATTTTCAAATAATTTTAAGCTGGCATAGAAATTGCAAAAACATTGCAGAGTTCTCTTGTACACTTCATCCAACTTTTTCCAAAGACAACATCTTACAATAACCATAGTACAATAATCAAAGCCAGAAAACTGATATTGATACAGCTCTATTCACATAGATCTTACTCTGATTCACCAGGTTATACATGAATTCCTTTTTTAATGCACAACTCTATGAAATTTTATCATATGCATAGGATTGTGTAACCAACACTGCAATCAAGATACAGAACTATTCCATCACTCTAAAGAAACTCCCTTTGCACACCCTCCTATCCCTGCAACCCTTGGCAACCACTGATCTCTTTTCCATCCCTATAATTTTGTCCTTTTGAGAATATTGTACCAGTGGAATCATATATATGGAATCATAATAATCCAATAAGTGAAATCATACATTGTGTAGCCTTGTAAGACGGACTTTTTTCACTCAGGATAATGCCCTTGAGATCCATCCAGTTTGTTGCATGTATCAATAGTCTGTTCCTTTTAATTACTAAATAGTATTCCACCATATGGATGTACCACCGTGTATTTATCCATTTGCCCAACGAAAAAGATTTGGATGGTTTCCAGTTTTTGGCCATCATGAATATAGTTGCTATGAATATTCATGTACAGATTTTTTGTGTAAATTTATCATTTCTCTATTATATGTACTGAAGATCATGATTGCTGCATTGTAAGGTAAGTGAATGTTTGACTTTATGTGAAACCTCCAAATTGTTTTCCAGAGGGACTGTACCACCCCCCATCAGCTATGTATGATAATTGGATTTCTCTGCCTCCTTGCTAGAACTTGGTATTGCCAGTGTTTTTTATTTTAGCCATTCTGATAGATGTGGTATGGTATCTCTCTGTGGCTTTAATTTATATTTTCCCTAGTGGCTAATGATGTTAATAAGCTTATTTATATGCTAATTTCTCTACCACATAACCTCTTTGGCAAAGTGTCTGCATGAGTCTTTTGCCCATTTTTAATTGGATTGTTTGCTTCCTTCCTATAGAAAGTTCTTTATATTCTGTATACCAGTCCTTTTGTGAAAGTGTATTTTGCAAATATTTCCTGCTAATCTGTGGTTTGTCTTTTTCATTGTCTTAACTGTCTTTCATGAACAAATGTTTTTAATTTTGGTGAAATCTAGGTTGTTGATTTTTTTTTTAATGGATTGTGCTTTCAGCGTATTGTCAAAAATCCCTTCACCTAGCTCTAAGTCATGAAGATTTTCTCTTATATTTTCTTCTAAAAGAATTATAGTGCTTCATTTTACATTTGGGTGTATTAACCATTTCAAGACTATCCTCAAATTTTTGTGTAAAGGTGTGAGATTTAGGTCAAGTTTCAATTATTTGCTTATGAATATCTGATTATCCCAACACCATTTGTGGCTAAGACTATCTTTCCTCCATTGAGTTGCCTTGAAACTTTTCTCAAAAAATCAGTTGTCCTCACTTATGTGGGTTTACTTCTACACTTCTACTCAAAGCACAAAGTTGTTAATAATACTCTTTTATTTCCTTTTAGTGTCGAATCTGGGGTGTGGTTTTCTTTTTCATTCCTTACATTTGTAATTTGTGTCTTCTCTCTTTTTTACGTAGATAATTCTCACTAGGGATATACCAATTTTATTAATCATTTTAAGAAAATAAACTTTTAAATTTTTTATCTTTATTGTTTGTTTTGTAGTTTACTAGTTTGAATTTCTAATTATTTTTTTTCTCTTAGCTTATGTTGGGTTTAATTTATTCTTCTTTTTCTATCTTCTTTTGTCAAAAGCTTAAAGCAGTGTTTTTCAACTTTTCTTCTTTAAGAATATAAGTGTCTAAAATGTTAAATTTCCTAAGTGAAGGGGATTAAGAGTACACTTATCATGATGAACACTGAGTCATGTGTAGAATTGTTGAATCAGTGTATTGTACATCTGAAACTAATATAATACTCTATGTTAGCTACATTGGAATTAAATTAAAATAAAATAAAACGTTAAATTTCCTTCTACGTACTATTTTAGCTACATCCCATATATATGTATATTTTTATATACTGTAATAAAAGTTATGTGAATGTCATTTCTCAAAATATCTTATTATGCTGTACCGCCCTTTTCTTTCTTATATGATGTAAGATGAAAAAATGTCTACATGATGAGACGAAGTGAGGCGAATAATGTAGGCATTATGACATAGCGTTAGTTTACTATTGACCTTCTGACAATATGCCAGAAGGGGCTCATCTGGCTTCCAGACTACAGTTGATCACGGGTAACTGAAACCACAGAAAGCAAAGGAGGTTAGGAGGAGGCTACTGTATTTTAAAGTTTAGTGCTTACATTCCAAGTACTTGAAAGTTTCTAGAGACATTTTTTTGCAATTCATTTTCTCAATCAATTTCACTTTGGTCAGAGAATAAATTCTATTTAATTTCAGTCCCTTTAAATGTATCAAGAATTTTTTTGTGGCCAAACAGATTGTGTGTGTATGTGTGTGTAAGTATTTGCTCTACACAGTAGGGTTTGGCTGGAGCCTCAGCTTCAGGTTTGGGGCCAGGCTGCAGGTGCCTGGGGAGCACTGTGCTTTTGCTGCACAGAAGTAGGTGGCTGAGTCTCCAGGCTGGGGAGCCGTGACGTGCAATGAAAATTGTTTGGCACTTACGTTGAGGGAAACTGTGAATCTTCCATCCTTCTTTGTTCTTTCAACCAAGAGCATGGCTAGCAATAATTCGGGGCCTTTACCAGGGTACTGTCGGTACCATAGGAAGTAGTCAAATGCACTGTTCTCATAAGTACAATTCAGAGTAGAAATCTCTCCTTCCCGGACTGTCAGAGATTGAGGGACCTGTTTCACCTGCTGCTGGCCACTCTTATTACTCTGTTGGCCACTCACCCCTGCTTAAAAAGATAAGAAAAAGTCATTAGGTCCCCAAATTTATATTTCCCTACCTGCATGAGGCTGTCTGTATCCCAATGTCCTCATCCTCCCAAATTAATGACATATCCTGGAGTTTCTCCTCCACAACTCACAGCCTAGTTGAAGCCATAGAATTAAAATGGATGTTCTCAGGATCCTGGCCATTCCTCCTGATACCAAAGCTCAGTGACAACTCAGCTAGTCCTCTGGTCTTCCTAGCCTGCTAGGACGCTAACTTGAAGTTCACACCTGTTTTTAATTCCTGCAACAGGCCCCGCCCCTTCACAAATGCATTTGCTTGAAGCTATTTCTGTCAAAGGAAACACTTCCTCATTTTCCCTAACTTAGAATGGCTGAAAATACTTTCACTGGGAATCAAAGATTTCCTTCTTACACACAGATTAGGATGAGTTTAGAATATCTTTCCTACAAAACCCCTCTTCCTTTTCCTCACACCTCCTAAAATGTTAAAAATCATATACTAAGTCAGCTTAATATGTCAATAAATATTACATTTATGGTGGGGAAGAGAGGGACGCCTATGAAGCTACAAGATCAGCACGTATAGGGGCATTTCTTCTTTTTTTTTACAAGTACTAATTAAAGCCTATTAAAGACACACAAAATGCACCATATCCCATTACAAGCTAGGGTAATGGAGCAGAGTATAAAGAATATATGGTCTCAAGAGGGCACATTCTGCGTGGAGCACTGGGTGTTATGCACAAACAATGAATCATGAACACTACATCAAAAACTAATGATGTAATGTATGGTGATTAACATAACAATATAAATAAATAAATAAAAATAAAAATAAACAACAACAAAAAAGAATATATGGTCTCTTTCCCCTTAGGGAACTTAAATTTTATTACAGTCTTTCAGATATGTCCATATTTTACATGATCCTAAGAAATGATAGAAAGTAATTAAATCTATTTCAATTTCTTTAAAATATTTCTTATTTAAAATATTTCTTCTAGAATAGAAATCAGGTAAATTAAATATTTCTAAGAATATACCTGGGGAAAAGAAGTTAGGAAGTACTGGAATTATCTGTCCTTCAGGAGCTTTGATCTCCAAATGGGTACAAGAGAATGGAAAGATTCTGCAGATTTAGGAAGACTTGGAGCCTTGACCATCCAGTGTGCATTAACACTCAATCCAGTTAGCATTAACACTCAACCTGAGTTTGAGCACACATTGAAACTTTTCTTCACATTTTGTCCTTATGGGTGAAATATGAAAATACGAAGAATCCATTTGGCTTTAGATGTTAACACAGCAGGACACAGAGACAGAAATTGAGGATAAATTCCAAAACAAGCTAGGGTAAAAAATGGTGATCTGCATTATAAATAATAGAAATTAGAAGAAATAAGGAGCACATATTTTTTCTGAGGCACAGAGAAAATTTTGTATCTGTATTTGATATCATCTCAAATCTAATAAAAAAATAAACATATCACAGTCCAGCAGGAGCCAAGGATAAGAGTCCCCATTCCTCATTCTACAATCTAATCTCATTCTAGTCCAGTACCATAAAGAGATTTTTTATTGTTTGCTGAATTTGTGATGTGTTTTTTTCTTTTTCATTTTTCATTCATTAATGCATATCTTCAAAGTATATTAACTGAGTGCCTACTAAGTACCCACTACATCGACAACACTTGGGTCTCGTTCATCAAAGAGACATAGTCCTGATCTTCAGTCAACATAGTCAGTACTCAAGTATAGCCAGATAAATGCTTACAAAAGAGAACTGTGTACCTTTACGATGTGACCAAAAAAAGAGTAACGAACTCTTGTTTCTGGGCCCAGAAAGAGAAGAGTTCTGATGGAGGAGATGCTTGAACTGGGACTTATACATCAATAGGGTTCCTAGCAAAAATAATGGGATAAGAGAATTCTAGACACACATTAACTCAGGGATTGGAAGTTGGCTGTGTATGGTGAAAACAACATAAATTCATATTAAAGAAGCTAATATGGCCCTGACCTTGAAGAACAAGGTGTATTATTTAAAAAATTGTTGCTTTTCAAAGTCATATTTTTCAAACTATTAGACTGGAACAAACACAGATACTCTTAAGGTAGATGGATGGATATGTAGGTAGATAGATAGATACATGGATAGATGATTGATAGATACAAATTTAAGCAAAGTAGGAGATAATAGCTCATTAAATTTTTTTTAAATATTAGTTCTGGCTAGCTGATGATCCTGTGTGTGTGAGACCGATGTTAATCTTCTCTGAAGCAGCATTGCCTCTTGGTGGCCATATAGAAAAGTTACACTGAACAATTTTATGCAGCTTCTTAAAACTTTGTGTTCAGAAATCCCTGGATCAATCAGAGCACTGAAGTAAGAGGCTGAGTCTTCTTGAGCCAGTGATTTCTTCAGATGGAGGAGATTTTGTTCTTGTTGAGTTCCCCTATGAAAGCTTTATGGCTATTTACTGAGGTTTATCTCAGATGGATCTGGGGGTCCTGGTTGTGATGCTGGACCTACCAAGAGGCAGCAGGGCTCCCGTCAATCTCACCTGCCCTAGGGGCTTTTCAGATGCAGAAATTGGCCCTCAGGCTGAGTCACTGCTTGGGCTGTCCTTCTTCCAGTAATACCAACCTCAGATCAGGGAGAGCCCTTCATATTGAAGAGAACAGGTCCTTAAATAAATTCTAATGTAGACAGTTGTTTTATATCTTTGCCAAAATGTGATATAGTCACCTATTTTTTTTCAGCTAACATAATAGTTGTGTAATGATCTCATTGTGGTATTACCTTGTGTTCCTCTGATGACTAATGATGTAGGAAGTTTGGCAAACTTTTTCCATGAAGAGCCAAATAGTAAATATTTCAGGTTTTGCAGGCCATTCGGTCTCTGCCACAACTACTCAACTCTGCCATTGTAGCATGAAAGAAGCCACTGATAATACATAAATACATGAGCATTGCTATGTTCTAATAAAACTTTATTTGCAAACACAGATGGCTTGCTAGATTTGGTTTGTGGGCCATATTTTGTTGACTCCTGATGTAGAGCATCTTTTTATGTGCTTATTGGTTCTTCCTATATCTTTTATGAGAAGTCTGCTCAAATATTTTGCCCATTTTTAAACCGGGTAATTTATCTTTTATGGATTTTTTTTAATGGCGTGTTCGTGATTCAGTGAAGAATCTTACTGCTATGTGGACACAATCAGCCATCACTACACAGTCCACAATTGCTTTGAAAATTCTGACTTTGGAACCAGTGACTTAGCAGACATACAGAGCAATAAACATCACGATTCGGACCAGAATGAGCTACAAAGAGAAATTCATTTTCCCATAATCACAAATGTTGATTTTATGAGTTCTGATATCATATCAACTAATGCTGATGTTGAGTTTCAAACAAGAACAGATGTTCTTGATGTTAGGTTTGTTGTGGGTATAGGGGAAAATAGTAAAAAACTTAAAATTTTTAAATTTTTCACAAGAAATATTTCACAAGAAAATATGCACTAACTGCCGTCAAAGGATAAAGCAAACTGTGGTGGGATTTATGCTCTAGAGCTCCCCACAAAATCAGGTCATCTGAAATCTGACCCTTGTTAGGCCTTTTCCCTTTCCTTTTCAGGTGCACAAATCCTTATCTCAAGGTGTGCCTCTGGGGAACAGAATCTAAGACAATGGGTATTTAAGTTGTTCATTATTTTCTATTGGTGGAAAAATAGTCATACTCTTATAATCGTGATATCTTCAGTAGAGGTGATGTGTCCAATGTGGGAAGCAAAGACAAGAGAAAAAATTAAATTTCCTTACCTCCTACAGCCCATTGACAAGTCCTTGAAACAGGCAGAGTGACCCTCTGGTAGCTCAGCTGCCTTGATGAGGGAAAAGGCAATCTTAGCTTAACATTATCCCAACCCCCCAGGATCCTGTGAGTCTACTTTAACATACAAAAATTCCTTTGGAAACTTCCTTTATCTCTACCCCCCAAGACACATGTTGGCAGTCATTCTCCAAGGATATGACTCACCAATATACATCTGAAGGGTCTCATGACTAGGGTTTTACTAGACAGTAATAAATGACCTTTTCCTAATGATAGCTAGCCCCCTCAAGGTCCTAGAAACCTTGCTTCCAAAATTCCTTAGAGACTTACGTTATCCCTAACCCCCTCCCAACTTGAAAGTATATCATGGGCCGCTCCTCCTGACCCCGGTGCGGCTCTGTCTGCTTTCATAAAACCACCTTTTTGCACCAAAGACGTCTCAAGAATTCTTCCTTGGCCATCAGTTTTGAACCCCAACCATTTCCTAACTCAAAACTACACTGTTGGACTTTGTAAAAATCAAAACTAATGGTGTTTACTGTTAAAGAGTCAGAAACATAGAGATGAGCCTTAGTCTTCATTTATTTTGGATAATAACTCTAAGAACAACTAATGCTTGATTTGAGAAAAGATATGGTATTCCTGTCTTTAATCATTAATCCTCTCCAGAATACACGGTTGTTTTATGATGACGATACATGGTGTGTTTGATTAATTGTATCTGGGGCAGGGTTAGGCTAAAAGCAAGATGATGGCTTTCTTTCTTGACGGAGAAAATCAAGGTACCTCAAAGAAAAGTTCAACTTTCGGCTATTCTCTGTGTAGGCCTATTCTATGTGCTAGTAACATGAATAGGAGGATGTACATTCCAGAATGGCAGTGTGAGTAGATCTGACGTAGTTTTGGAATGTTGGTGAGGTGAGGTCCAGAGCCAACAGCCAAGGAAGAATTTTTGAGATGTCTTTGATGCAAAAAGGTGGTTTTATAAAAGCGCGGAGACAGGACCTGTGGACAGGAAGAGCTGCTGCCCTGGGATTGTGAGGGGCAACTGATTACATACTTGGTGGTTGGGGGAAATAAAGGTAAGGAAGGTTCCCAAAGGATCTTCATATGCTAAAGAAGACTCTCAGGATCCTGGAGGCCTTGCTATTGTCAAACTAAGATTGTTTTTGCCTTTAGTGAGGAGTCAACATAAGGACAGTTGGGAGTTCCCTGGAGGAATATTATACTCTGCCTGCCTCAAGTATTTGTCAATGGGCTGCAGGTTATAAAGACATTTTTATCTACATTTCTTTCTATCTCTGTTTCCCACATCAGATCCACGGATACAGTCCCAAAAAAAACAATCATAACTGGTGGAAATTATTTTTTAAAAATTAAATTCTCTGGACAT